GAAACTACTCAACGGAGTTAATAAATTCCCCGTGGTCTTCGCTCCTGTTCCTACTGCTTCTCCTACCTATTTCTTCTCCAATTGTACAAGGGCGTTCATTAAAGATTTTCCTGTGGACAGAGAGCAATGAAACTTAGCAAAGTTGTTCCCTGTTTCCCTGAAAATAAGCCATAGCAGGATTTCTAAGCATTAGCGCAATATAAGCCATACCCTGAAAATAAGACATAGTGATAGGTTATGCAGTGTCCAAAGTCAGGACCCGGTCGTTCTGTGTGTGCTGCAAGCTGAGACAAAGAGGCATAGAAAGTGAGTGTAAAAGTCTCCTCAGTAAAGTTAGGAGCAGGACACTCTGCTTTAAGTATTGGGTGGCCTCAGGAGGAAGAAGTAAAGCTGTGGCTGCTGTTTTACTAAGTCATTTCCTCTGAGGTTGCTTGTCATAGATGCAGGCGAAACATCAGGAGACAATGCCTCTAGAACATGGCCATATAGCCCGAAAAAACCTACAACAAACTGGTAATGCTGCTGCACCCCAGCACTGATCAGCCACAGGTATTGTGTGTCCTCAGGAGGAAGAAGTAAAGCTGTGGCTGCCGTTTTACTCAGCACTGTAGGTCTCTCTCCCTCAGCACCAACCAACAATGGTCTGTGGAGTTCTCTCACCCCCCACAAACACCAGGAAAGCTGCTGCTCCCCAGCACTGACCAGGAAATAGGCATTGTGTCTCCTCAGGGGGAAGAAGTAAAGCTGTGGCTGCTGTTTTACTCAGCACTGTGGGTCTCCCTTCCCCAGCACTGACCAGCAATGGTCTGTGGCTCTCTCTCACCCCCCCACAAACACCAGTAAGGCTTCTGCTCCCAAGCACTGACCAGCAACAGGTATTGTGTGTCCTCAGGGGGAAGAAGTAAAGCTGCGGCTGTTGTTTTACACAGCACTGTGGGTCTCTCTCCCTCATCACTGATCAGCAATGGTCTATGTGTTTCTCTCACCCCCCACAAATACCAGTAAAGTTGCTGCTCCCCAGCACTGACCAGAAACGGGCATTGTGTGTCCTCAGGAGGAAGAAGTAAAGCTGTGGCTGCCGGTTTGCTCAGCACTGTGGGTCTCTTTCCCTCAGCACTGACCAGCAGTGGTCTGTGGGTTTCTCTCTCACCCTCACAAACACCAGTAAAGCTGCTGCTCCCCAGCACTGGTATTGTGTATCCTCACTGTGGCTACCAGTTTACTCACTTCAGCACCTGTAACATCAAGACCATTCTCAGTTCTGAGTTGTAAATTGGCATGTAACCTATAGAGACTTATATCATCACACATGTGCAGTTTCAGCATCCTGTGATAAATAGAAATGTGGAAATCTTTAATGAACGCCCCTCGTATATCCTGTACCATCTATGGATTTTCTAAGGTGGCTTCACAGCTCCTGCTAATTCTGGAGAGGACATTCGTTCCTCTTTGGCTTGAAGTCATTGCCCAGCCCCAATGTCCCCAAACCTGGCAATATCCGCTCTGCTTTGAATGCTCTTTCCAAGGTCACCAGGGATCATGTTTCCAGGTTATTTCGCTTGCCATGTGGAAAACGCAGCATTTCTACTAGTTGTGGGTTTGTTTTGGTTCGTTGGTCTGGGTTTTTTGGCAAACAACTGGGAGAGTTGATGCTGGATCTTCTTCTTAAATGATGTTTTTTTTTTCTTCCGACCAAATTTGCACTGGATTTGGGATCTTGAATCACTTGCTCTGATTCAAGCGTCACCAGCTAATCTCACTGGGTTGCATCAACTGATCTAGAGGGACTGAACTGGGGGAGTCTTCCCTGCCCATCACACTCTTCCATCGCTCCTCTCTATGGGGGATAGACTCCCTCCCGGCCCCCCACACCTCATATCCTTTGTGTCTTTGTGTATTGAAATGTTCGGATTGTCCCCAGAATTTTGCGAGTATGTATTTTTTAAAAAACACTTGAGCACCGCATCTGATTGCCGTTTTGATATTTGTTATATGCACGTGTTCATTTGACTCAGTAATCAGGAAATTGATTCTTTGGTTGGTCAATTGTCCATTGTCATGCACTTCTAGGCCGTTACCCAACTTCTAGCCATTGATCCCACTAAACTCAGTGCATTTCATGTCTGAATAGGGATAATAATAATAATAATGCTAATAATAACAACAACAACTTGATTTATATCCCACCACCACCTCCCAAAAGGGACTCGGGGCAGCTTACAAAAGAAGAGCACCTCCCCCAGAGTCAGAGATGAGTGCTGCGTCCAAAGCCGGAAATGAAAGGAGTAGACTTTGCCTTTGTTTGTGTTTGTGTGTCTCATTGTATTGTAACAAGCCATTGGGTTTTTTGCTGGTATCTGTTTACACTGCAATTTGCAACAGAATACACAAGGTACGGTAACATACACATTACACTGTCAATTTACATAAAACAAATATACTACTACTACTAATAATAATAATAATAACAACAACAACAACAACAATGGCCATATAGCCCGAAAAAAACTACAACAACCCAGTAAAGCTGCTGCTCCCCAGCACTGACCAGCAACAAGTATTGTGTATCCTCAGGGGGAAGAAGTAAAGCTGTGGCTGCCGTTTTCCTCAGCACTGTGGGTCTCTTTCCCCCAGCACTGACCAGCAATGGTCTGTGTGTTTCTCTCACRCCCACAAACACCAGTAAAGCTGCTGCTCCCCAGCACTGACCAACGACAGGTATTGTGTGGCCTCAGGAGGAAGAAGTAAAGCTGTGGCTGCTGTTTTACTAAGCACTGTGGGTCCTTCTCCCCCAGCACTGACCAGCAATGGTCTGTGGCTCTCTCTCACACACACCCCCCCCACAAACACCAGTAAAGCTACTGCTCCCCAGCACTGACCAGCGACAGGTATTGTGTGGCCTCAGGAGGAAGAAGTAAAGCTGTGGCTGCCATTTTTCTAAGCACTGTGGGTCTCTCTCCCCCAGCACTGACCCCCACCAGTAAAGCTGTATTGTCGTAGGCAATACTTTATTTATATTCTGCCATTCTCCCCGAGGGGACTCAGAGCGGATTACAGTGTAAAAAGATACCGGCAAACATCCAATGCCTTGTTACAATACAATGAGACACACAAACACAAACAAAGGCAGAGTCTTCTCCTTTCCTTTCCGGCTTCGGAGGCAGCGCTCATTCCTGGTTCTGAGGGAGGTGCTGTTCTCCATTTCCAAGCCGAGGAGCCTGCGTTGTCACCTCCTGGTTGTGTGACCGGCATGACTGCTTAGAGCATCATATCCCTTTCCCGCCAAAGCCTTTGCAGTCATAGACAATGAGACACACAAACACAAACAAAGGCAAAGGCTTCTCCTTTCCTTTCCGGCTTCGGAGGCAGCGCTCATTCCTGGTTCTGAGGGAGGTGCTGTTCTCCATTTCCAAGCCGAGGTGCCTGCGTTGTCACCTCCTGGTTGTGTGACCAGCATGACTACTTGGAGCATCTTGGGCCTTTCCCGCCAAAGTGGTACCTATTGATCTACTCACATTTGGATGTTTACGAACTGCTATAATGGCAGGAGCTGGGCTAACAGCTGGAGCTCACTCTGTCCTGCAGATTCGAACTGCCAACCTTCAGTTCAACAGTTCAGCAGCACAATATTGCACCACCGCAGCATATAAACCCCATCTAGTTTAAATCAAATCCTCAATAAAATGTAGTAATAGCTGTGAAGTAAACTATCAATTAGGGTGCCCCATCAAAGATGTATAATTAGTCTGCCCCACAAGTCAGGTTTCCCCCCTCTGTGAACTACAGTTTCCAGAATCTCCAAGCTCTCTTGGGCTCTCTTACTATCTTGGGACAATGAGAATTGTAGTTCACCACACCTGGAGGGTATCTGGTAGGGAGAAGCTGCCATAGATGATGGAATCAGGGAGAATGTGTTGAGATCTAAGGGTTTCTGAAGTGTTAGTGTTAGTAGTAGTAGTAGTAGTAGTAGTGATGTTGATGATGATGATGGGCACATAACCGCAATGTGTGACATTGCTGTTTGTGCATCTCTCCCATTGTCAGTAGAATAATCTATATATATATATATAAATGCTCTGTGCATGATGAGTACCTTAAAAACAAAAAAACTACAGGGCCAAATGACCCCAAATTTGCATTTGTTGCAAGCTCTGAGCTGTAGGCCGCTTTGGAAACTCAACGATGAGTCCTCTTCCCTTCCCCATGTTGACCTGAGTCACCAGGAAGTAAGTCCCACCAAAGAAACAAAGCTTAAAATTCCCAATGAACATGCATGCATTCCAGCCTTAATTTCTGAGAACACACACCACACACTTTCAACAGAAAGGAGGAAACCATGAAAATGAGCAAAATCTGGCCACCAGTATTTAAAAAACGCTAAAATTACAACAGCACAACAACAGAGAGGAAACCATCAGGGACAGCTAATCACTTCTCAACAAAAGATTGCCCCAAGCACTGCCAAGCCACACCAAACAACTGCCAGGCCATCAAATGCTACTCAAAGTGGTCAGTTGAAACATTCACACCTTTCTCCAACAGACAAGAGTCCTTTCTCCCACCCTGGACATTCCACAGGTATATAAACCCAATTTTCCTAGTTCCAACAGACCTGAGTCGCCTGAGGGCTGAGAAAAGCGGTATATAAATAAAGTAAATAAATAAAGAAGTACATCACTCCCTCTGAGGATGCTTGCCATAGATGCAGGCGAAACGTCAGGAGAGAATGCCTCTAGAACATGGCCATATAGCCCGAAAAAACCCACAACAACCCTACACACCCCATTGTCATCGGGATGGTGGTGGGAGAAGCAAACGTTGCTCAAAACCGCCATGCGTTCCTCTCTTTCTCCGGATCCGATCTTCTGTCCCAACCTGGATAGGTGATGCTACCCACAGATTGTGACAACCCCGTGCACATCGCAAGCGTGTGTGTGTCTTTCTGCCCCAAGGGAGGCATGCACACCTTTTGTTACGGGCACTTTTGTTCTCTTTTCCAGGTCAAGCAAGCGCTGGGCTTAAAAGGTCTCTTTCTCAGAAATCCAAAGCAGGCCTCTCTCGACAGTCATGCTGCTGGCCAACTCAACCGCAGAGACTCCTTTAGCAGCCACCTCTTACGGCGGACGGCCAGCGCGCCCACCAAGACCCAGAAGAAGGCCAGGAAGGGCTTCCCCGAGATCGCCATCGACACCAAAGACCACGGCTCCGAAGGGACGGGCGACGGCCACGCACTCGAGGACTCGTCCCACCCTCGTTTCGACCAAGAGCCGGAACGCGGGTCCCCGGCACCTTCTCTTAGAGAGGGCGCCTTCAGGGAGGCTCCCGGCAAGGGGTTGAAAGGTAAGGCCCACAGTTTTGGCAAAGGTAAAAGCAGCCACGCCCATGTCCACAGGGATGCAGCCTTCAGCGAGCCCATCCGGAGGTCCAACCGGGTCCGCCTCCAGGAGCCCCCCGCCGAGAAGCAGGGCGTCTTTGCCCGCTGTGCCGTCAACGGATCGGGCCGCATCGGCATGGCCACCAACTGCATGAAATGCATGATTGGCTCCAACGAGAGCCCTGACCTAGAGTGCAAGTGGAGCAGCCACGCCACCGCCACTAGACCCGCCACTCAGGAGACCCCTCCCTGCAACCCGTATAGCAGCCTCGCAGGAGACGAGGAGGGGTTAGAGCTCCAAAATTGGGGGATCCAAGAGCAGCAGCCCCAGCCGCGGCCCGACCTGCCCCTCTGCGGCGGCGGCACCGGTGGTGGCGGCTACGGGGCGGCTGGCCTCCTGCCCATGACCTGCCAGCCTTCTGGGACCTCGGGGAAGAAAAACGGTGACTCTAAATGTCACGGGGTGAAAAGTCAGTCCCGGCAGAGGTGGCAGGGCCAGCCCGGTGGCAAATATGGAAGCACGGTCAACTTGGTGACGGCCAGCAATGGCTCCATATCCTCCGACTCCAGCAGCTTGGAGAGCCTCGGAAGTCCTGACTTCCCCAAACGCTGGTCTGAGAGCTCCAGAAAACAAGCGGGCACCCTTCAGAGGGAAATGAATGCCTTGTTTGCTGAAAAGCTGGAGGAAATTCGGAGTAAATCCCCTATATTCTTTACTGGTAAGGCCAGATCTTCTTCACCCCGCTGCCTGCTATAGATCATGCTGCTATTTTAGTTTCCCCTTAGAAGAACCTGCATTGTTTTATTGAGTTTTTTTAGTCATTTTTAGCTTTATATGTTGTCGATTTGGGGGGGGGGGGGAACGTTCCGCACAAAATCATCTGTCTTCCTGTCTGGGGTTCAGTCTAGACACGTCCGACCATAGACGACTATCTGTTCCTCCTGTCTGCCAAATCATTTCCAGTAGCGAATCCTGTAGATGTCTGCCCTGTGTAGGTCTCTCTGCAATGTGGATGTGTGTTTTGATCATATAATGCATACGTGTGATTCTAATGTTTCTTTTTACTCCAACCAGGGTATCTTGCAGACGTTGAGCCAAGGGGTTTGTTTACTGCCATTATTGGCAACAACCACTTGTTGCAAGACTGTAGGTTTTATATAGCAATATTAAATGACCACTCACAAGCCGGTTTTGCTTTGAAATGAATATATTGCTTGTATCTCTGCAGCAAAGAAAGACACTACTGTAGGTTTTATATAGCAATATTAAATGACCACTCACAAGCCGGTTTTGCTTTGAAATGAATATATTGCTTGTATCTCTACAGCAGAGAAAGACACTACTGACTTTTTCCCCCACCACTTCCTTTTATACACCTTTCCTGCCCATGTCCCCCCTCTTCTCAGTTTCCTTATTAGATATTGTGGCTTCACAAGTTCCAACACAAGGTTTCCAGCGCCCTTTGCTGGCTTCAAAATGTCACAGAGAGAAAACTGAGGCAGCCAGGATGATTCAGTCAGGATGTCACGGAGGGAATTTGTGATGTCTTCATGCCGTCAGAAATTGACTCCTAACACTTGTTGCGTCAATATTGGGCATATGCATTTGAATCATTTTCTGAAGGTTGGGTTTTGTTATGATGCCAGGGCTCTGCTGTATTCAGGTAGAGATGAACCAAACTAACACCCAGCTTGTATAAAACAATTTAATTAAAACAGCACTTACTTTRTGGCTGTTTTAATAGTCTAAAATATAAAACATAAAGATAGCACTCAGCCACAGAATAKACAAAAACAGATAGCAAAAGCTACACTGTGGTCGAAGAGTCCAGTCCAGTGGTCAAATGCCGAGAGTTCAATAAACAAAGTCCAGGGATCAAGAGTCTATAGCGTAGTCCAAAGCCAGTCCAGAGATTCAAGGTTCCAGGGTTCTAAGAGTTCAGGATACCGAAAGTCCACAAACCTGGGGGYAAACCAGCAGCATCTACCACCAAGATAAGACAAATACTTTTCTCCCAAAGATCAGTCCCAGGGCTCTGCCTTATTCAGGTAGAGATGAACCAAACTAACACCCAGTTTGTATAAAACAGTTTAATTAAAACAGCACTTACTTTTTGGCTGTTTTAATAGTCTAAAATATAAAACATAAAGATAGCACTCAGCCACAGAATAAACAAAAACAGATAGCAAAGGCTACACTGTAGTCAAAGAGTCCAGTCCAATGGTCAAATGCCGAGAGTTCAATAAACAAAGTCCAGGGATCAAGAGTCTATACCGTAGTCCAAAGCCAGTCCAGAGGTTCAAAATTCCAGGGTTCTAAGAGTTCAGGATACCGAAAATCCACAAACCTGGGGGAAAACCAGCAGCATCTACCACCAAGATAAGACAAATACTTTTCTCCCAAAGATCAGTCCCAAGGCTAGCTCCTTATATCCYGAAACACACAGCTGCAYTCCATACCTCCACCCTTAATTGCTTTCACCCATGAACTCTTACTTACAGATTACTCAACACTTTASAATTAATYCTTACATTGACCCTTCCATAACCAACCACCCATCAACTCCAGAAAATGACACATGACAGGTTTGAAGAGTAAGATGTTCTTCCAACTCATCCCAGCTGTGATCATGACATTAATATAATGTCAAGAGACTTCACAACATTCAGATTGCCCAGGCTGTAGCGCAGCTGGTTAATTGCCAGCTGCAACAGATCACTGCCAACCAGAAGGTGGCAAGTTCGAAACCCGTGTCAGATTGAGCACCTGACTGTTAAGCCTAGCTTACTGTCCACCTAAGCAGTTAGAAAACAACTGAGCTGTGAGTAGAGAAATTAGGAACTGCTTAAAGTTGGGAGGTATTTACGACACCAGAAAAATGCCAGTGGTCAAAGAGCAAAGAGGAAATGCGATCAAAATGACTCTGCGTTGTAGTGGATGAAGCAACAGCACCCCCATGAGGCCATAATTGAGCATAAACTCCAGGCGCCGAAGTGGAAATGCCAAAAATACCTCTATCTGTCTGTCTGAGTTGCCCTTCAAAACAGCCTTTAGACAATGTTGCAAGTAAAAGAAGAATGCTTTACTTCAGCATACACAAAGGATAAGCAAATTGAAAAGTGCAAAAGAAAACAAGGAGATCCTAATCCAGACACAAATTAAAGTCCCTTACAAAATCCCAAAAGAAACACCAGTCTTCCATCAGACAACGGGCAATGAACGAAGTCCTTAGTAGCAGACACAAAACAGATTCCATTGGGGTGATTATAGCCCTGAATTCCCCACGCAGGAGATGCTAGGGCGTCTCCCAATTAGCTCAGCGTTTCTAGCAGCTGTTCTGGCTGCATCCCGTCTGTGCTCTGTCTCTTTTCATCTCTCTAGAAATGTGGGCACTTTCAAACCCTCATCGTCTGATTCTTCTCTTCCCTCCAATTCCTGAGCACTTCCCTGCTCCCCTTCCTCTTCCAAAGATGAGGAATCCCTAACAGTACGTCTAAAAAACGGTGGAGTTCAGAATGCTCTTTGATTGTAGGTGAACTATACATCCCAGTAACTACAACTCGCATATGTCAAGGTCTATTTTCCCCCAAGAGCGCCTCAAGAGCAAGCGCCCCTGGGCAACATCAACTCTACCGCGACGGCTTACTTTGCGTAAGGGCTGAGCCGCCCCTGCATGCCTCCCTGGTTGGTCAAAAAAAAGAACTATTAGGATCGTACAGCCAAACATTCTGTGTAAATGATCTTATTTCCGATGCTTTGCCCGACTAATGGATTCCTTCTCTGTTTTTGCCTTCCTGGGATTAACTGTTTCTCCCCTTCTGTTCTGTCCCATTCCACATGCGCTCTCTTGTCTCTGTAGTTAAGAACTGAAAGGATGAGCAAGTCACAGGTAACTCTGAAGTACTGTTGGTGTCCCATTTCTTTTAGAGATGCTTTAGATACCGTCGTATGTTTCCTCTTCGCCGTCTTTGCATGATTCTCTCGTATGTCTAATGCATGCCTTGGGTTTTTCTCTCAACGTTGCCTATCCTGCATGACGGTGCGTACGAAATGTGTAGATCTTTCCCTTTCCTGAGGCTTTAACACCTTACATTTTTTTTACTGTTTATGTCTATATTCTTCTTTTCCGCCGCATGTTTATAGCGTGTGTATGTGTGAGACTGAGGCGTGACTTCGATTTAGGCAAGATTCTGGTAGGCAGAAAAAAATAAGTGTTGACAACTAGAGTTGTAAAATGACCAGTGGCCTGTAAGAAAATTTGGAAAACGATGCCTTTGCCATGTATTTATTTGCCATGTCCGGGAGGGCGTTTGCACAGCTACGACTCGTGCGCCAGCTGCGACCGTACCTCGCAAAGGCTGATCTGGCCAGGGTGGTCCATGCCTTGGTCATCTCTAGACTGGACTACTGCAATGCACTCTACGTGGGGCTGCCCTTGAAAACGGCTCGGAAATTCCAACTGGTTCAACGGGCGGCGGCCAGAATGTTACAGAGAGAGGTCAACCCTCCTGTTCACGGAGCTCCATTGGCTGCCGTTTACCTTCTGATCCCAATTCAAGGTGCAGGTGCTTACCTACAAAGCCCTAAACGGTTTGGGACCTGCCTACCTGCGTGACCGCATCTCTGTCTACGAACCCACGTGTTCACTTCGTTCATCCGGAGAGGCCCTGCTCGCGATCCCACCTGCGTCGCAGGCGCGTTTGGTGGGGACGAGGGACAGGGCCTTCTCTGTGGTGGCCCCCCAACTCTGGAACACTCTCCCCAAAGACATTAGACTAGCACCCACGTTGGCAGTCTTTAGGAAGAGCTTGAAGACCTGGGTATTCCGATGTGCCTTTCCGGAGTAGGATAACCCCCAGCACTACGTCCCAGAAGCACTTTAGTAGAGCTTAAGACTCTCTGCACGTGGCACTTGCCCAGAAATCCAACACACTACCTCTCACACCCAGCACTTTCTTAACCTGTACCCAACACTGGCCCTGGTTTTTATTGCGTAATGGTGTTTTTAATTTGCTTTGTATTGTATTGTTATTGTTTGCTGTTGTTGTGTTGAAGCCTTGGCCTTTGTAAGCCGCATCGAGTCCTGTGGGAGATGCTAGCGGGGTACAAATAACGTTTAATTATTATTATTATTATTATTATTATTATTTATTTACTGTATTTATATACCGCCTTTCTCAGCCTATCGGCGACTCAGGGCAGTTTATCTCACTTCTGTTTAAACAAGTCGGCATTTGCAAGGTTCGCAAAACAGGCTGATTTTCCCAAGTCTCGCTTATCCGACATTCCGTCTTGTCCAACGCTCTTGTTTATTTATTTATTTATTTACTCACACCATTTCTACCCCGCCCTTCTCACCCCCGAGGGGGACTCAGGGCGGCTAACATGGGCAACAATTCAATGCCATAATATCAACACAACAAAGTGAAATCAAATACATAGCAAATTAAAACAGTAACATTAATTATAATCACATACTCATATACTCACAAAGCCGCCAAATCAGGTCACATAGCCATTTCCGATGGTCATAACAATGCTATGGTCCGGGTTCAGTGTCTAAAGTGCTGCTGTGTCCACTAGCCAAAGATCTGGCTCCAAAACCATGACTTTAGTTTTTTTCCTAAAAGTAAGGAAGGAGGACGCCGATCTGATCTCGCTGGGGAGCAAATTCCACAAGCGTGGGGCCACCACTGAGAAGGCCCTGTCCCTCGTCCCCACCAGACGCATTTGTGACGCTGGTGGGACCGAGAGCAGGGCCTCCCCAGTAGATCTTAAATTACGAGGCTGAACGTAGAGGGAGATACGTTTAGACAAGTAAGCTGGGCCGGGGCCATATAGGGTTGTATAGGCCAAGACCAGCACTTTGAATTGTGCTTGGAGGTGGACCGGTGGCCAGTGGAGCTGACATAGCAGCGGGGTGGTATGCTTCCTGTATGGCACTCTGGTGAGTAATCTGGCTGCTGCCCGTTGGACTACTCGGAGTCTCCTTACAGTCTTCAAAGGCAGCCCCACGTAGAGTGCATTGCAGTAATCTATTCGGGATGTAACCAGAGCGTGGATTGTAGGTCAACTATAAATCTCAGCAACTACAACTCCCAGATGACAAAACCCAATACCCCCTCTTCCCCCAAATCCCACCAGTATTCAAATATGGGTGTATTGGGTATTTGTGCCAAATTTGGTCCAGTGAATGAAAACATATCCTGCATCTCACGATTCATAAGAGGAGCAAAATTACAGTTATGAAGTAGCAACGAAAATAATTTTATGAATGTGGGTCGCCACAGACATAGTAGTGTTATGGTTGGGGGTCACCACAACATGAGGAACTGTATTAAGGGGTCACAGCATTAGGAAGGTTGAGAACCACTGCCATAGGACCATGCTGGAGGACGTGGGAAATGCTTAGGGAAGACATATTTTGTCTTACGTTGGTAGATGAAACCATGGATCATACGGTATTGACCTGGCCTGCAATTGCAGAATCCATCATGTCAGGGCAACGTAGAATCTGTGGGGAAGTTATCGTTGTGAAAGTATTGTCAGTAGTTGATCACCCTTGGGTGTGTTTTTTGTCTTCCTGGCAGATGCCCACCAGCTCTCAGTGCAGACGTCCATCCCTTCATTACGCAGCCTGGAGACCATCAGTGAAGAACCCAATGTTGCCAACAAGAACCAGCTTGTTGGTTCTTGCTTTCCTCTTTCCGCCACCCTCCCTGCTGATTCCAAAGAAGGGGATGTGCCTGATATTTCCCATGGAACTGGTTCAGAAGGAGATGACCCATCAGACCAGTTGGAGAGAACTTCTCTTCAGCAGCACGGAGTGACTGGTGCAGAGAATAAAGTATTCCACGCTCCCATCCCGGCCATTGCAGATGTCCTGGAATGGGAACTCAGTAGGAACATCAGCAAAGAAGAAGGTAGCTGCAAAAGGATACATGAAAATGGAGGTCCACCTACTTCACAAACTCAGGGCAATGTAGCATTGACCAACCGTTGGCTCCATTATGCCAGAAACTGCCAGAATCAAAGAAGCGGAACAGTCCAAGATGAGAGGAGTGAGAAGGGGAGTACAACCACACCAGGATCACCATACCAAAGCAACGTGGCAAATATCTCCATACAAATTGCACCTCAAGAAGCTCCAGAAGTCACTCAAGCTGCCACAGCCCCCACATCTCATGTCGTAGTGAAGAGGTCCAAGAGTGAAGGCTGCAGACTTTGTGACTGTTCCGTCTCGACGAGGCGACCTGGTGGCTTCTCCCCAGCGGCGGAAGTCTACTCCGATGCCACAGCCAATGATCATATCTGGAGCAAGCTGGACTCCAGCACTCATCGGGACAGTATGTCTTCCTCTTCCAGCATGTCCTCCAACGACACGGTCATAGACCTCTCCTTGCCCAATCTTGCTCGGAAAAGCCTCCCCGATCTGGTGGTTCGGCATGAGCATTTTGATGCGCTCCCTGCAAGACGAAGTATGCGCCCCTGGTCTGCGAGCGCTGCGCCCGGACACGATGTTCCCATGGTGACTAAGAGCAAATCCAATCCCAACCTGAGGGGTGACCAACCTGCCCAGGATGCGTTGTGCCCTCGACCGCTAAGCAGGGGTTGCAAGTCGGGATCCATGCCCAAGAGACACACCTGGAGTCGGTTGTACATGGAAAGCCTCAGGCAGTCCTGTCTGAAGTCTCAAGGCCAGGAGATCAACCAGGCCAAATCCAAAAGCCTCGGAGACCTCACCTCTGAGGACATCACATGCGCCTTTGAGGGCAAGTATCGCAGTATCAGTCGAAGCTTTGTCACCCAGTCGACGCGGGAACAGCGCCGCTGTGCCGTTGGCGCATTCTCGGCTCAGCCTCCCGACGAGCTCACGGAGCGCTTGAAGAAGCTGACCACCTTCCAGCAGGCGAACGATATCACTTCCCCGACCAGCCTCGGACCCGTCGAGTCGGAAGAGGAGGAAGAGGGAGAGACGGGCCTCCTCCGAAGGGCTTCCTCCCGGAGCCAGAGCCGGGTGAGGTACATTGCCAACCGTGCCAAGCAGGCCCAAGAGAGGCAGAGGCTGCAAAGCTTGACCCTGAGCAAGGGGAGTCCCATCGAGGAGAGGGGGAACCCCGAGGGAGCCTGCTGCTTCGCTGGCGGGGCCTGCTCGGACGTGGCTTCCCCTGCTCTGTTTACACCCCAATGCAAGGACCGTGACACTGAGGTCGTCTTTTTATTCAAACTTTAACGCTGGGAAGGGCTGCACAAGTTTGATGTTTACATTCCCGTTGGAGCAAAACCAACCACCACAAAATTTGAGAGAGAAAAATGCAAATGGTGCAAAATATCAAGGTATCATCTCCTCTCGTTCCTCCTCGTCCCAGTCTCCGATGGACAACTTATGCGTGTAATAATAATAATAATAATAATAATAATAATAATAATAATGCAATGTGTAGCATGCCGTATCAGGAGTGGGCAACCAGACTTTTTTTTCCCTAAGGGAGGGAACAGATCATGACAAAATCCTTTCCCCACCACGTTGCTAGAAAGCATGTCCAAGGATCTGCACAACCCTTCAGTCTCCCTTTCTGAGGACTTGTCTTAGGGCCCGTCCAGACAGTACCTTTATCCCAGGAGCCCCTGCTTCGAAATGGAGGGCGGCCACACAACGTCCCCTGAAAACACAGTTGCTACAAAGGCCAAAGAACGCGAGATTTTCAGGTGCGGGAATATCCCGGTTTGTCCAGGAAATGCGGATATTCGAATCTCTGTGTGTCTCTACTCTCCGAAAATACGGGATTTTTTTATGTTGGTTTGTTCCTGAGTTATACATGTTGGATCCTGATTGGTTGTGTCCTAAAAACATGGAAAATGGGTTGTTATGGGTTTTTTGGGTTGTATGGCCATGTTGAGCAGGGGTCCTCAAACTACGGCCCGCGGGCCGGATACGGCCCTCCGAGGTCATTTACCCGGCCCTCGCTCAGGGTCAACCTAGTCTGAAATGACTTGAAAGCACACAACAACAACAACAACAACAACAACAACAACAACAATAACAATCCTATACCATCGGCCAAAAGTAGGCCCACACTTCCCATTGAAATACTCATAAGTTTATATTGGAAAATGGGTTGTTATAGGTTTTTTAGGTTGTATGGCCATGTTCTGGAACAGGGGTCCTCAAACTACGGCCCGCGGGCCGGATACGGCCCTCCGAGGTCATTTACCTGGCCCTCGCTCAGGGTCAACCTACGTCTGAAATGACTTGAAAGCACACAACAACAACAACAACAACAACAATAACAATCCTATATCATCAGCCAAAAGTAGGCCCACACTTCCCATTGAAATACTCATAAGTTTATATTGGAAAATGGGTTGTTGTAGGTTTTTTAGGTTGTATGGCCATGTTCTGGAACAGGGGTCCTCAAACTACGGCCCGCGGGCCGGATACGGCCCTCCGAGGTCATTTACCCGGCCCTCGCTCAGGGTCAACCTACGTCTGAAATGACTTGAAAGCACACAACAACAACAACAATCCTATCTCATCAGCCAAAAGCAGGCCCACACTTCCCATTGAAATACTCATAAGTTTATATTGGGAAATGGGTTGTTGTAGGTTTTTTAGGTTGTATGGCCATGTTCTAGAACAGGGGTCCTCAAACTACGGCCCGCGGGCTGGATACGGCCCTCCAAGGTCATTTACCCGGCCCTTGCTCAGGGTCAACCTACATCTGAAATGACTTGAAAGTACACAACAACAACAACAAGCCTATCTCATCAGCCCAAAGTAGGCCCACACTTCCCATTGAAATACTCATAAGTTAAAATTCTTTTTCATGTTCATTATTGTATTGTTTTTAAGTGTTTTTTTGCACTACAAATAAGATCTGTGCAGTGTGCATAGGAATTCATTCATGTTTTTTTCCAAATTATAATCCGGCCCTCCAACAGTTTGAGGGACTGTGACCTGGCCCTCTGTTTAAAAAGTTTGAGGACCCCAATTCTAGAATGTTTCGGATTGTATGGCCATGCTCTAGAAGCATTCTCTCCTGACGTTTTGCCTGCATCTATGGCAGGCAACCTCTGAGGATGCCCGCCATAGATGCAGGCGAAACGTCGGGAGAGAATGCTTCTAGAACATGGTCATACAACCCGAAAAACCAACAACAACCCAGTGATTCCGGCCATGAAAGCTTTCGACAAAACATGGAAAATGTTTCTTAAACTTCTTGTGGGAGGGAATTCCTGCAGCACGTCGTGTGGCGGTTCCTTACTCAGCACGAGCTGACGCTGTCACCCCAATTTTGCAAATAGGAAAGAGCGGAAATCCAAATCTGCTATCCGCCTCTTCCTTTGGCTGCGCCAAAACGAAGTTGACGGGCAAGATTTCCCCAGCAATACTTTTTCAATGACTGTCTCGTAGAATCTCATCCAACCCAACAAAGTTTGTGGCAGCCACAAAAATGAAGTTTCTGGAGTAGAACAGCTACTTTTAAAGTAAATACCACACAATTAAACAGGAAATAACACTTCCAAACAAGAAACAGTCAATGTTTGGTACATAGTATGATTGAGTAGAAGGTGAAAACTTTATCCTGGCAAGGGAAACTTTGTCCTCCACGCGTTTAGTAAAGTTTGTGACACACAAACAAAGGTTTTGCCATGCAATCAATTTCCTCCATGTCTTTATGATACAGTGTTCCCTCACTACCTCGCGGTTCGCTTTTAATGGACTCCCTGTTTCGTGGGTTTTTGAAAATATTAATAAAATATTAGCCGTCCTCTACCACGCATTGTTGTGGCCCACATGGGGGTTCCGTGTGGGAGGTTTGGCCCAATTCTATCATTGGTGGGTTCAGAATGCTCTGTGATTGTAGGTGAACTATAAATCCCAGCAACTACAACTCCCAAATGTCAAGATTCTATTTTCCCCAAACTCCACCAGTGTTCACCTTTGGGCATATTGAGTATTCGTGTAGAGTTTGGTCCAGATCCATCATTGTTTGAGTCCACAGTGATCTCTGGATGTAGGTGAGCTACAACTCCAAAACCAAAGGACACTGCCCACCAAACCCTTCCAGTATTTTCTGTTGGTCATGGGAGAACTGTGTGCCAAGTTTGGTTCAATTCCATCTTGGTGGAGTTCAGAATGCTCCTTGATTGTAGGTGAACTATAAATCCCAGCAACTACAACTCCCAAAGACAAAATCATTTTTTTGAGTGAAGGACATACATTGGGTTGTTAGGTGTCTTGTGTCCAAATTTGGTGGCAATTCGTCCTGTGGTTTTTGAGTTCTGTTAATCCCACAAACAAGCACGGGTAAGAAAATAATATACAAAATATATACAATAATGTATAAATATTAAAATTAATAGGGCGTCCCTACTTTGCGGATTTTCACTTATCACGGGTGGGCCTGGAATGGAACCCCCACAATAAGTGAGGGCACACTGGAAATGCACTCAGGAACAGACATGTATAACCCAGGAACAGCACCCCATAGTTTCCAGGCACAGGTACACTGCCAAACTTGTCAGCACAGATGGCCACACAGCCTATATAACACAGGAACGGAAATCATACAATGATTGGCATATCTTAAGTTTTTGAACAAAACACCACCGAAATTTCCAGTGCATGTTCCGCAGCTGCGAAATCCCAGGACAAGGTGGCAAGTGTGGACTACGGAGGCAGAAATCCCGGGACAACAGATCTGCGTGTGGACCTCTTTTCAGGTCCTAGATTATTATTTTTTTGTCCCGTGTATATGTTGTGCTCCGCCCTGAGCCCTCTTCGGGGTGAGAAGGGCGGAATATAAATGCTTTAAACTTTAAAAATGAATAAATAATTCATTAAGACTTGGATTTTAAAAAAAATATCAGTTACCACTCTTAAGTTTCTGGATCCTTTCCCGTCTTTTTGTAGAGGAGGAGACTGCTTCTTAAAGCTACTCTAGAGGAGAGGCAAACGTGCACACTTTCTTCCCTCCCAACACCAGCAGCTTTCCAAGGCATTTTAAGGAGGCCCAGGGAAGAAAGAGTGATGACCTGGAGCTCAGTCAAACAATCCTCCCTGGACTACCTTAAAAATCCCCTCAATTGCCTGCAAGGCTGCAATCTCCTTTCTGTTTGGTGTTTTGCTTCCTTAAAGCTGTTTCTACTTTCTATTCTAGAGGAGAGGTAGGCTTCACTTTTTGTTTGCTGGGATTACTATTATTAATAATCTTTTATAAGTATTTCCCAAAGGAGAAGAAGGGAAGGAGCTATCCTCCCTGGAGTACCTTAAAAATCCCCACACTTGCCTCGGGGCTTTGCTTCCTTAAAGTTGTTTCTACTTTCTACTCTAGAGGAGAGGTAGGCTTCACTTTTTGTTTGCTGGGATTACTATTATTAATAATCTTTTAGAAGTATTTCCCAAAGGAGAGGAAGGGAAGGAGCTATCCTCCCTGGAGTACCTTAAAAATCCCCACACTTGCCTCGGGGCTTTGCTTCCTTAAAGTTGTTTCTACTTTCTACTCTAGAGGAGAGGTAGGCTTCACTTTTTGTTTGCTGGGATTACTATTATTAATAATCTTTTAGAAGTATTTCCCAAAGGAGAGGAAGGGAAGGAGCTATCCTCCCTGGAGTACCTTAAAAATCCCCACACTTGCCTCGGGGCTTTGCTTCCTTAAAGTTGTTTCTACTTTCTACTCTAGAGGAGAGGTAGGCTTCACTTTTTGTTTGCTGGGATTACTATTATTAATAATCTTTTAGAAGTATTTCCCAAAGGAGAGGAAGGGAAGGAGCTATCCTCCCTGGAGTACCTTAAAAATCCCCACACTTGCCTCGGGGCTTTGCTTCCTTAAAGCTGTTTCTACTTTCTACTCTAGAGGAGAGGTAGGCTTCTCTTTTTGTTTGCTGGGATTACTATTATTAGTAATAATAATCTTTTAGTAGTATTTCCTGCAAGAGAGGGAGGGAAGGAGCTATCCTCCCTGGACTACCTTATAAAAACCCTCACTTGCCTGCAAGGCGGCAATCTCCTTTCTGTTTGGAGTTTTGCTTCCTTAAAGCTGTTTCTACTTCCTACTCTAGAGGTGAGGTAGGCTTCTCTTTTTGTTTGCTGAGATTACTATTATTAGTAATAATCTTTTAGTAGTATTTCCTGCAAGAGAGGGAGGGAAGGAGCTATCCTCCCTGGACTACCTTAAAAAAGCCCTCACTTGCCTGCAAGGTGGCAATCTCCTTTCTATTAGTAATAATCTTTTAGTAGTATTTCCTGAAGGAGAGGAAGGGAAGGAGAAAATAAGCTAAAAGGATGAAAACCCCCAAACACACAAGCGCATCCTCCACCCACCATACCTCAGCAGGTCCCCAACTCCCAGTCAGTCGCATTAAACAAAAAGAATCAGGAAAATAAAGAAAAATAAAAAATATTAAACTGTGATGATGAATAGAGGAGGAGAAGCCGAGATCGGTTCCCATTTGCTTTCGTGTCAGGCGGGTTTTCGTACCGGGAGAGCCCTTATTGTTATGAGCTCCCAAAGTACTGAAGATACTGAAGGAAACGGAGGGAACAAAATCCGTGCACAACTCTTTTACTCTCTTGCAGGAAATACTACTAAAAGATTGTTACTAATAATAGTAATCCCAGCAAACAAAAAGAGAAGCCTACCTCTCCTCTAGAGTAGAAAGTAGAAACAGTTTTAAGTCCCAAGGCAAGTGTGGGGATTTTTAAGGTAGTCCAGGGAGGATAGCTCCTTCCCTTCCTCTCCTTTGGGAAATACTTCTAAAAGGTTATTATTAATAATAGTGATCCCAGCAAAGAAAAAGCGAGCCTACCTCTCCTCTAGAGTGGAAAGTAGAAACAGCTTTAAGGAAGCAAAACCCCAAACAGAAAGGAGATTGGAGCCTTGCAGGCAAGTGAGGGGATTTTTAAGGTAGTCCAGGAGGGATTGTTTTGACTGATATATATATATATATATATATATATATATATATATATAGAGAGAGAGAGAGAGAGAGAGAGAGAGAGAGAGAGAGAGAGTGACTTGAAGTATAGATGGCCAAGTGGTCCATTTCCACACTATGTCAATTTCACCTAAATCTAATTTTTTTTAAATGAACACTTAATTTATTGTCTCTAGAAGTATTTTTTTTCTAAACGTCTTTCCACTCCAAACGTGTTTTACGCATATTGTTATGCTTTTTTATTTTAAAGTTGAGAAATTTGTCCGAACATTTGGAAAAAAAATTCCAAAGCTGTTGAAAAAACTGACTTTGGATGAGCACTTTAGTCTGTGAGGAGAAAGTCGCGTCGGTTTGTGTTAGCGTTTCCCAAAATCGCATCGTCTTCCCAAAGTGGAAATGAGTGAGGACTTTGGGACAATCCCAAAACTAAAACGTTGGAGAGCAAAGTCAAGCTTTGGGTGTCTTTCACTTTTTCTCATTGAGATCAGGGTTCAGAAGAGTGTTTCCCGTTTCCGTTGTTAACGTCATAATCCCTGAAGATATCGGTATTTTCCTACGTTTTGGCGAAAGATTTGTGTACTTAATGGATTCAGCAACACACACACAGAGAGAGAAACACTATTCCTTTTTTTTAGTTAAACGGAACGATCCTTTTACGAATGGTTCGTCTTAATACTCTGCATTACCATTAATTGCTATGAATGTACCTGTTACCAAGGAAGAAAACGCAGGAGAGTATATCAAGACGATTTAGAGAGGAAAAATATCCCGTCCTAATTTTTGTCCCTTGTATGATATATGCAGCAGCGGTGGGGAGGGCGAGATGGGGTTGGGTGAGGGATATTTTCCGTTCTTTGTTTGTTTGTTTGTAACATTTCTTCTCTCTATATTGAAAATAATGCAAAATCTATTTGTAAAACCAACTGATACTCTTCCGAATAAAGATTATTTAACCTATTCGTCTCCGATTGGATTACTGCTAACGAATGGGCTTCCTTGTACTTCTTATACTCATCACCTATCTTCCTTCTAAGGCACCAATTACACTGCCATATAATGCAGTTTGAAACTGGCTTATATGGTCAGTATAGACTCATATAGTGCTTAAGCTGTTGTACTCCAGGCCTGGAAACACCTATGACCACCGCACTACACAAGGTTACAGGAATATAAGCAACATGATGTTAAGGTAATGATGTTGGTGTCCGAAGCACACTGATCTGGGAACACATGGTGTTGAGGTTATGACGTTGGTGGCTGAAGACCAAAGAACCTGAAGACACATGATATTGAGGTAATGA